GCAGTTAACATAGACTTTACACTGATGGGAACTTTTCAAAAGTAAGGCTGGCCATACAATATACAATTATCTGCAGATTTTCTGCCCAATTTCCTTTAGATTTACCTTCAACTATGTAGTGTAAGGGCCTGCCTAATTGGATACAACAAAGTGTTGTTTAGGTTTGTCCTCCTATTATATGGTTTTTGGTAAATCTAAACCAAAAATCTGCAGATAATTGTATAATGTATGGCCAGCCTTAGTCTGTGTGTAAAATGCACACACCAGGCAAATGTGAACATTATGGGGTTCATTTAAAACTGGAGAGTGCAAAATCTGCATAGAAATCAATGAGCTTCCAATGTGCTACCATACACAGCTGCACCACATTTTGCACTCTCCAGGTTTGGCAAATCAACCAATCAACCTCTGTGCATTTTATTCTGCCAGTTTAGTTGAGAAGACAACGGTCCTGTCAATGTCAGATATATTATTTTAATAGATTTTTATGTTTTATAAAAAAAAAAAAAAAAAAAGACCTTTCTAATAATTTCCTTCTTCCTAAGAACTATGTGGAGGGTCTACCTGCTTTAATCACTTGAGTTCCCATTACTGTAAAAAAAAGCGCAGGGAAGAGCAGCAAGGCAATCACAGCAAATGGCAATTCAGTGGGTGCTCTGCACACAGTATACAAAACCGTGTTGTCCTGGTTACGAGGACGTGGCTATGAACGAAATGGAATGCTAATTTTCTATTGCATATATAATGTAAATCTGAATATTAGCCCCTTGAGGACCAGAGGTTATTAAAGCCTTGATGCATAGATCAAGATAAGCAGCTTTAGTGTGCATCAGTAAACTAGACAATGACTCATTTTCCTACCTAAAAATGTTTTTATTTTTTAAGGAAATATAAGGCTTTACTTGATACTCTGTTTTAATCGATTAGCTGCTTATGATTTCTAACATTGTATCTCTTTGTGCACAGAGAGAAAGAGAGGAACAGCGCCATTTGTAGGCTGGAGACATTTGTAAGCAAACCTCCAGCCCACATTTGATAACTGTGATTTGCTGCTGTTTGATCACATGATCAGGAACATTGCAGATTGCTGGCCTAAGACCTGCAGCTGACAGCCTGGACATTGAACTGAAAGTGTGCACAGGCGTGCACTGCTAGTTCACAGTGGAAATACACACTAAAGTGATATGAAAAACAATTTAAAAAATAACAACCACTTCATTCTTACCTGCTCTGTGCAGTGGTTTTGCACAGAGCAGTCCTGATCCTCTTATTCTCCAGTCTGGTGCCAGTACTTCAGGCCCCTCCCTCCTGCCAAGTGCCCCCAGAGCAAGGAACCACTGCTTTGCATGTCCATTCATACATGTAGCCGGGGCTCGGCCCCGCCTCCTCTCCCTTCTCATTGGCTCACTGGCTGTGATTGTCTAAGCTAATGAGGAGGGAGAGGAGGCGGGGCCGAGCCCCGGCTACATGTATGAATGGACATGCAAAGCAGTGGTTCCTTGCTCTGGGGGCACTTGGCAGGAGGGAGGGGCCAGAAGTTCATTCTATGCATGAAGGTAAAAAACCTTCTGTGTGTAGCAGCCCCCCAGACACTTACCTGAGCACCATCCCAATCCAGCAGTGTGTACGAGAACTGCTCCAGGGGCTTTAACTCCTGGTTGGCTGAGGCAACTGCGGGAGCCATTGGCTCCTGCTGCTGTTAGTTACTGCCAATGAGCCAATCAGGAGAGCAAGGGGCATATCTGTGTTTGAATGGACAGCTGTGGCTTGGGACACCTGCTCGGGCACCTGTAGCAAGCTGCTTGCTGTGGGAGCACCTGACAGGAGGGAGGGGCCAGGAGCTAGGCTGCTGTCTGTAAAACCACTGCACAGAGCAGGTAAGTATGACATGTTTTTTTTTTTTTTTTTTTTTTTTTTTTTTTTTTTTTTTTTCTATTTCAATGGTTTTTATTAAATTTTTTAAACAGTATAAACAGAGGCAGTAAAACACGCCCACGCAGGGGCTATCAATTGCACAGATAAACAAAATGCCAAATAAAAAAAAAGGGGAAAAACAATGCTCTAATGCCAACAGGGCAAAAGGTACGCCCACGCAGGGGCTATCAAAGGCACATAAGTTACAAAACATTAATGTAACTGATTATAACAACTAAATGCAGCTGTCCTAGTCACACCAAAAACAGACAGAGAGAGAAAAAGGAAAAGAAAGAAAAAAAAAAAAAAAAAAAAAAAAAAAAAAGGGGGGGGGGGGGGCAAAGAGCAGGGATTCAAGAGCGCCAATACCGAACGCCATTACATCCCCAGACTAGCTGGGGAGAGTGAGGGAAGGGCATATTGCAACCACGGCTCCCATATTTTCAAAAATTTACGTTGGGAGTCATTGCGGATACTCGACATCTGTTCGTTGAGCATCATAGTGGTCATACGATCCCGCACCCCCTGAAGAGGGACAAACGGACTCCTCCAGGCCTGAGCAATTGTTCTAGTGGCGGATAAAAACAGATAGGAAGCCAACTTCTGCTGGTGAGCCAAGAGGCCCGGTATGGGGCAATGAAGCAAAGCATACCGAACATCCCGGCGTATGGAGAGATGGAACAAAGTGAAAAGGAGGCCAAATACACGAGACCAAAAACGAAACAGTCTCGGGCATGACCACCAGATATGCAATACATCACCACGATGACCACAACCCCGAAAAAACATCGATCACTACAGGCAGTGTTAGCCCGGGCCAACCGAGCTGGAACCCAGTACCAACGAAACAAAACCTTATAGGCTGCCTCCAGTGTGGTCGTATTAAATGAGCATTTAGCTATGAGTGACCAGGCCTTATTCCAGTCCTCCGGATCCACAGCCACTCCCAGGTCGCGCTCCCACTGAACAACATATGAAAGAGAAGTATGCGATGAGCGTCTGTTCAGAGCTGCATAAAGAAGGGATATAAGGCCCGGAGCGCCCGGACGCTGTTGGCAAAGCTGTTCAAAGGCAGATTTCTGGTACGGGAACGCAGAAGTACCCCGCAGCGAGAGCAGCCAGTGTCGCAATTGAAGATATCGAAAAAATTCCGCTGGGGGGATATTCCGGGATTCCCGAAGAGAGTCCCAGGTGGGAAAGGACCGAAAAATCAAAAAGTGTCGCACCTGCGAAAAACCATTAGTCACCCACCAAGAAAACGCCCCTGGGTGATCCAAACCCGGCGGGAAAAGAGGGTTGTTAATAATAGGTAGCAAAGGCAGAAAAGGTGACATCAGACCACCAGAATAACGTACCGAGTCCCAAACTTGTAGGCCATGAAGTAACATCGGACTCAGTGCCACAGGGCGCAGGGCAGGGGGAAGCCATAGAAGCGTCGACAGTGCGATAGGGGCACAATTAGGTAGTTCCAACAGGACCCAGAGGGGGACGTCGGAAGAGGCGTGCAACATAGACAGCGGGGCAGTTTTTTTTTTTTTTTAATTAAAAAAACAAGACTTTAGTATCACTTTAAGCTGGGTATACATGCATCGAAATTCAGCAGGAACTGGTCGAATTTCAATACATATGTAACCCGTGTGTTTAATAGAAGCTGGTCATTAGGCTGGCTGTTGTCAAAAGGTCCTACTGGAAAACCAGCATTCAATTATTATTATTATTATTATTACTACGAGTTTATATAGCGCCAAAGGGTTTGCTCAGCGCTGTACAATAGGGGGGACAATACATGGCACAGTACAACAACAACAAACAACGTACGAGGGGTAAGAGGGCCCTACTCTTACGAGCTTACAATCTAGGAGGGAGGGGGTAAAGGTACACCCATTGCAGTGAAATTGTTCTGTTCTGATGGGGGAGAGGGGGGATCTGTGAAGGTTTTTTGTTAAATACGCTGGTTGTACAAAAAAAACAAAAAAAAAAAAAACTGCACATATACCCTGCTTAAGGGCTCGTTCACACTTGGCTGTTTTACCAACGCTTGCCAAACGCCCCTATAGCGTTTGGCAAGCGTTGGTCCGGCGTTTGCGGAGCATTTTTTAACGCTCGGCAAACGCCGCATGCGCGGTTTAGCGGAAGTTGCTAGGCGTTTTCCGAGCATTAATAATGCCCCACAAACGCCTATAATGCAGTTTGAGTGGTGTTACCGCTCTGCAAACGCCCCGCAAACCGCGTCGCAACCACACCGCAAATGCTGGCCGGGCGTTTGCTGAGCGGCACCATAGACGAGAATAGGAGGCTTCAAAGCCTCGTGACTTGACCAGAGGCGTCCGTTTTCCCGTGACGCGACGCAAACGCTGCTGTTAGAACAGCACCATGTGCTGTAATGTGCAGAATTGGCAGAGGCGTTTGGGAAGCGGTAAAAACGCTTCCCAAACGCCTCTCTGCCGCCTGCACACAACACTAGTGTGAACGTAGCCTAACACTCAAGGTCAATGTAAACATCTTGTATTGAGACTGCAAAAAAAAAAAATTGCTGCTGTGTTTCCTAGTGTCAGCACTACTATTTCAATAAGCCAACTGCAGCTTTGCCATACAGATAACAGCATGAGAGGGTTTGCCATGCAAAATGTATTTACAAAAATATACAGTACAATGTATAGACATGTAACCTCAAATCTATCCCTATTTAAAACCAGACAGATCTATCTTTAGGTTAACTATTGTGATGCACAACAAAGGTTTCTTGGAACAAAATGTTACAAAATGCCTACTAATGTCATTTTAATTACAAATACCAAAAATAAGTTTTCTTCTCATCCTGGGATAATGGGATATTATATAGTTATATCATATTGGGCTGTATTCTGGATGTACCATTGACCAAGGGGCATATAAAGGACTGATTTGCTTTGCTCTTTCCTCAGTCTACTCCTTTATTTTGGGGATTTGTGATAGAATAACAGATGTAGATACATTCAGTTCTAAGAAGGCTTCACTGGTTGACACACACAGCTCAGTAGAAGGTGTTTGATGAAAATGACTTCTTTACTTTGAGACATTTTACTTTTTTAACATAAACAACTTTTTTCCCTTACAGGTACAAGAGTCTGGTCACTGGAAAAAGAGCAAGAACCATTATTGCTGTCTTCTGGATTCTATCCTTTGGCATTGGCTTAACCCCCCTGATGGGCTGGAACTGCATGGAAGGAGACTGTGGTTCAAATGAAACTATATCTAGCCGCAACAGAACGATTTCTTGTTTGTTTGAAAAAGTGGTTACAATGACTTACATGGTATACTTCAATTTTTTTGGGTGTGTTTTACTTCCATTGTTAATCATGCTGGGAATATACATCAAGATTTTCATGGTGGCCCGAAAACAGCTGAGACAAATTGAACTGAAATGTATCGGTGCTGACAACTCAAGGACCACTCTTCAGAAGGAGGTGAATGCGGCCAAGTCATTGGCCATCATTGTGGGTCTCTTTGCATTTTGCTGGTTGCCCATTCACATCTTGAACTGCATCACCCTCTTTGACCCTGAGTTCCACAAGAGAAAGCCAGGATGGGTCATGTACGTAGCCATCATCTTGTCTCATGCCAACTCTGTGGTCAACCCCATCATATATGCTTACAAAATAAGAGACTTTCGTTACACCTTTCGTAAGATTATTTCTAAAAACCTTCTCTGCAAGAAAGAAAACTTCTCTAAGTTTCCTAACGGCAGCATTGGACAGGCCAGACAAACGCATATCAGCAGCGTAAGTGCTGGCAATGTTTTTATGTGACTTCATAGACTCCTTGGTGCCTTCAACTGGGCAAAGGAATCTTCTGTAGTTTGGTTTCCTGGACATATTGTAAGAACTTATTGTTGAGACTATGAAGGGTTTCCTGACTGACCACTTTGCTGCTGCACTTTGTTCATACAAAATGTTCACCTTTTACTTTTACTATGAAGGTATTACTGAAATTTCCAGTCTGCTCTGCACTGTTGACAGCCTTACTAGTTTTAGTCTTACTAGTTTTACCGAAGCCATGAGATACCTACTCATCAATGCATGTAATATGTTACGGAACTTCATTTAAAAACAAAGATACATTACTTAGAGAGCTGTGCACATAATCCCTAAACTGGTGTTTTCACATTCTTAGAACAAGCAATTAAAATCATGTTTAGAAATGAGTTTTCCATAGCTACTTACATTTTGTAGGATACATCATATAACCAATGTCATATATGTTTTTGAATGTAAAGTTCATTTCTTATGCATATAGTCCTATCTGTCAGACTGTATGCTGAAGTTGTCTATCAGTAATCCTATGTATACAGTCTTCATATATGTAAAGATAACAATAACAGAGGGGAAAACACATGGAGGACCTTACTGTGGAAGTAAAGGCAAAACCTAACTAACTCTAAACCTACTCCCACTCCCATTCTAAGCCTAATCTATCTAGCCCTGTAAAGAAAAGATCGCTATACTTACCTATTCTGAAGCCGCACCAGTACCCTCTCCGTCGACTGTTGTATGCAAGAGAAAACTGACAACGGCTGGGAAATGCCTGGGAAGTGAAGTCACCCATAAACTTACTATGGGGCTTCAGTTGTTGGCTGCCTCTTCTACTCACTGAAGCCACCGCTGACTGCTCAATTTGGGACCAGACCGGAGCTTCAGAATAGTTACAGTGCCTTGAAAATATCTGAAAAGTGTACCGTGCATTTGTATTCAGTCCCCTTTACTCTGATACCCCTAACTAAAATCTAGTGGAACCAATTGCCTTCAGAAGTCACCTAATTATTAAATAGAGTCCACCTGTGTGTCATTTAATCTCAGTATAAATACAGCTGAAGCTCTCAGAGGTTTGTTAGAGAATATTAGTGAACAAACAGCATCATGAAGGCCAAGGAACACACCAGACAGGTCAGGGATAAAGTTGTGGAGAAGTTTAACGCAGGGTTAGGTTATAAAAAAAAAATATCCCAATCTTTGAACATCTCACAGAGCACTGTTTAATCCATCATCCGAAAATGGAAAGCGTATGGCACAACTGCAAATCTACCAAGACATGGCCATCCACCTAAACTGACAGGCAAGGAGAGCATTAATCAGAAAAGCAGCCAAGAGGCCCATGGTAACTCTGGAGGAGCTGCAGAGATCCACAGCTCAGGTAGAAGAATTTTTCCACAGGACAACAATTAGTTGTGCACTCCACAAATATGGCTTTTATGGAACAGTGGCAAGAAGAAAGCCATTGTTGAAAGAAAGCCATAAGAAGTCCCGTTTACAGTTTGCGAGAAGCCATGTGGGGGACACAGCAAACATGTGGAAGAAAGTGCTCTGGTGAGATGGGACCAAAATTGAACTTGTTTGTCCAAAGGCAAAATGCTATGTGTGGCGGAAAACTAACCCTGTACACATCATCCCCACTGTGAAACATGGTAGCAGCATCATGTTGTGGGGATGCTTTTCTTCAGCAAGGACAGGGAAGCTTGTCAGAGTTGATGGGGAGATGGATGGAGCTACAAACAGGGCAAGCTTAGAAGAAATCCTGTTAGAGTCTGCAAAAGACTTGAGACTGGTTCTACAAAGTATTGACTCGGGGGCTGAATACAAATGCACGCCACACTTTTAAGACATTTATTTGTAAATTATTTTGAAAACCATTTATCATTTTCCTTCCACTTCACAATTACAGTTGCAAGAAAAAGTATGTGAACCCCTTGGGATTACGTGGAGTTTTGCATGAATTGGGCATAAAATGTGCTCTGAACGTCATCTAAGTCACAACAATAGAAGAACACAGTCTGCTGAACATAATACTACACAAACATTAGATGTTGCCATGGTTTAATTGCACATAACATGTAAACATTCACAGTGCAGGGAGGAAAAAGTATGTGAACCTTTGATTTAATAACTGATTGACCCTCCTTTGGCAGGAATAACATCAACCAAACGTTTCCTGTAGTTGCAGATCAGACCTGCACAACGATCTGGAGTCATTTTGGACCACTCCTCTTCACAAAATTGTTTCAGTGTAGAAATATTCTTGGGATGTCTGGTGTGAATCGCTCTCTTAAGGTCATGCCACATCATTTCAATCGGGTTGAGGTCAGGACTCTGACTGGGCCACTCCAGAAGGCGTATTCTGTGCTGTGGCAGCCATTGTTTTGAAGAATTACTTGTATGCTTTGGGTCATTGTCCTGTTGCATCACCCATCCTCTGCGGAGCTTCAGTTGGCGGACAGATGGTCGTACGTTTTCCTGCAAAATGTCTTGATAAACTCTGGAATTCATTTTCCCATCAATGACAACAATCCATCCAGGCCCTGAGGCAACAAAGCAGCCCCAAACCATGATGCTCCCTCCGCCATGTTTCACAGTGGGGATGAGGTTTTGATGTTGGTGTGCTGTGCCTTTTTTTCTCCTCACATAGTGTTGTGTGTTCTTCCCAAACAACTCAATCTTGGTTTCATCTGTCCACAGTATATTTTGCCAGTAGTGCTGTGGAACATCCAGGTGCTCTTTTGCAAACTTCAAACGTGCTACAATATTCTTTTTGGACAGCAATGGCTTCCTCCGTGGTGTCCTCCCATGTACTCCATTCTTGTTTAATGTTTTCCTTATTGTAGATGTGTCAACAAAAATGTTAGCATGTGCCAGAGATTTCTGTAGGTCTTTAGCTGACACTCTGGTATTCTTCTTTACCTCATGCAGCATTCTGCGCTGTGCTCTTGCAGTCATTTTTACAGGACGACCATGCCTAGGGAGAGTAGCAACAGTGCTAAACTTTCTCCATTTGTAGACAGTCTGTCTTACCGTGGACACATGAACATCAAGGCTTTTGGAGATACTTTTGTAACCCTTTCCAGCTTCATGCAAGTCAACAATTCTTGATCATAGGTCTTCTGAGAGCTCTTTTCTGCGAGGCATGGTTCACATCAGAGAGTGCTTCTTGAAACCAGTAAACCCAAAACAGGGTGTGTGTTTTTTAAGGGCAGGACAGCTGTCAGCAACACATCCAAATATCATCACACTGATTGGAGTCAAGGTTGGCTCACTCCTGGCTCCAATTAGCTCTGGGAGAAGTCATTAAGCTAGGGACTCACATACTTTTTCCTCCCTGCACTGTGAATGTTTACATGTTATGTGCAATTAAACCATGGCAACATCTAATGTTTGTGTAGTATTATGTTCAGCAGACTGTGTTCTTCTATTGTTGTGACTTAGATGACGTTCAGAGCACATTTTATGCCCAATTCATGCAAAACTCCACGTAATCCCAAGGGGTTCACATACTTTTTCTTGCAACTGTATGTGCCACTTTGTGTTGGCCTATCACATAAAACCCAATAGAATATGTTTATTTTTTTAGTTGTAACATGACAAAATGTGGAAAATGTCAGGGGGTATGAATACTTTTTCAAGGCACTGTAAGTATAGCGATTTCGTCTTTACAGGGTTAATTAGATTAGGCTTAGATTGGGGGTGGCAGTAGGTTTAGAGTTAGTTAGGCTTTGCCTTTACTTCCACTTGAAGTCACCTGAATACATTAGATGGTGTTAAAGCCTAGCTCTGCCCTTCTAACACACTTAGTATCACTGAAGTGAAAAGTCAGCTTTTGAGGAAGTATTTGTTGCCTATTCTGTTCCCTTATTCTTTCACAGGAATCTATCTATTGTTATGTATTATACCCAATTGGAAATATCCCATGAGCCGATCAAATAGACCAAATGCATGAAAGTAGGTTCTACTACCTCCCAGTGTTATAATATGGCTTATCACTGGTGCTCTGGCAGAGGCAGCTGACTCCCCATCAACACAATCTGTATAAACAAGGAAAGGCCAGCGTATACTCTGCAATCATGTGTTTGGCGGGTAACAGATGACAGCCACAAATGTCAACACTTTTCAGCCAAACTGGCCTTCTTCATGATCCACCCACACCTACACATAATTCATGCACAGAGATCTGTGAATGAATGAACTACAAGTCCCATCTGCCACCACGGCAGATAGCTTGTAGCTCTCAATGAACAGCAAGAGCGCTGGTGAACAGCCTCATAGATCACTGATTCTTCCTGCACTTTAGTAACTGTCTGTGCTGTCAGCTGTGTTGAGAGTATGATAGCCTGATATTGCACCCATGATCTGCTGATAGCAGATGCTTTACAGGCTGCAATGTAAAAATATATATATGTATATATATTTTTTCTTTCCGGTAAAAAAATGTGCATTTATTATTAGTAATTTTTAAAAAAGTGAACTTATACTTTAGAGCTAATTCATACATGTGCAGTGCAGATTGAATCTCAGGTTTAACAGCTAATTGACACAGTAGTTGTTCAGCGGTTCATGTCAAGTTTACATCAGCTTCAGGATGAGGTTAGGAGTTTATTCTGTTCCCATAGAAAATAGCCTATAATCCACACCTGAACCGGAACAGCTCAGAAATCGCTTAGGCCTCTTTTTAAAACTGCACTGAATCCACACCGGCCATGCACTGGACATATGTGAACAGGCACCATAGGAAGCAATGTTATCTCACATGTCATGTGCATTGGATGGGGTTCAAACCGCATCCAATTCGCATATATGTGAACTGGCACTTAAAGGTGCAGATCCCTTGGCTGGCCTTACCTTTTCTTTACTACTTGGTGAGTGGTTGACCTAGAGCAGGCATGCAGTCAGTGAAATGTTCAGACAGCAGACTTGTCTACTCGTTCCATGTCAGCAGTTAAGTGTAAGAGTGACAGCCCCTTAAAAAGCTGGCAATATTTCCCTTT